GGCGTCCAACCGGAGGAGATGTCCATCAACCTCAGGAGGTAGACGTCCCACACCGGCGTCCAACTGGAGGAGAACTCCATCAACCTCAGGAGGTAGACGTCCCACACCGGCATAAAAAACATTATGTCCTTGATGAAGTGAAGTGTTTTTTTCTTAGGAATAACCAAATGTTCCAGTGTGAGAAAGTTCTTTATGCAGGGGGTGGGTTGGTTCCCGGGGGGCGGGGTTGTGTGATTTTGTAAGGTATAAATGTATTTAGTGAAATGCCTCTCACTGAGAGCTCTATCTCTCTGTCCGAGGAGGTTAAAAACATTTGAACATTAATTCTTGCAAGAAATGTTTCTGCCTCAGCTTCCTAACTTCACACCATCTATATTGGTCAGAATCTTCTGGACACTGATGATCATTTCTACGCTGATGATGTCGTTATCTACAGCTTTACATAAACTCTTATAGCTTTAACATAGTCATGTTTCTACAGATGGATCTTAATTTAAATGTTGACGTTCAGCTCCAGAACAGAGCGCCACCTGCAGGTCAGTCCTCCAGATGTCACATTTCCAGCAGCAGAAACTGAAAGAGTTGAATCTATCTTTACCATAATCAGTAAAGGAAATGTTGAATATTTGGTCATGAAACTGAGATTGAACCTTTGCGTTTGAACCCATTTGCTTGTGATCTGTTAATAAAAGACTGTGCTGTTCTGGTGGGGGGCAGAAAGGTGCTGACATGTGAGCAGGCAGCCTTTCTCCTCCTGCAGGAAGCTGTGTTTATAAATCCCTTGGTGTGTCAGATTCATTTTTTGTCTTATATGAACTCACAGTTTTTTGAAGCTAACAGAGCCGTTCTGGATTATGGTGACCTCTTTAGTAATGCACCAACCCAGGACTCGTAGCTCCTGGACTCTGCTTATCGTGTCTCATTGAGGTTTATCAGAAACTGTAAGCCCCGCCCACCCCACTGTGAACTTCCCACAGTGTGGGCTGGCCGGCTGTGGAGAAGCTTAGTCTCTCATTGGTTCATTTCTATTCTACGTCAGCTCCCCTCTGAGTGGATATAATCAACCAATCAGCATCCTTTAAACTCAGAGGAATCCCTGCTGCTGTCTGAAACAGATGTTCTTCTGCCTCCACATCTGCAAAGAGACTGGAAATGAAAGGAACTGGTTCCAATAAGCCAGATGAAGCTCCCAGTCTGAGGTCTGGAAATGTAATCAGTCTTATATTGTTATGAAGTCATGTGTAATCAGATCTGTCCCGCTGCCTCGGCCTGGAACAGATGAGTGACCTCCTAGAGTGAGATCAAGGTCTGAGCTTAGTGACCCAGATCTCCATCAGAACCTGGGTCCAATGGTCAGAAGGTCAGGAGCTGCTGTGGTTCTGGTATCAGGACAGACTGAGCCCGTTGATCAGGCCGTTTCTATCCTCCATGTTTTATACCAATAAACCTTTCTAACATTTTAAATAAGGTGTGTATTGTTCGTTAATAAGCCAACCAGAACATCAGAACCTTCTGAAACCCGCTGACCGACCCACTGTTCAGTAGAAGCTCATCAAGACAGATCTGAACCAGGATCGGATCCATGGATCAGCCTCTAAAGGTTCTGATCCAGTCCAACCTCTCTTTCCCATGACGTCACACCAGCAGGCCCTATGAGGCCTCAGGATCTTCTCAGAGCATCATCAGCTCAGAGAGCTGCACCTCCTTTCAGAGCATCATCAGCTCAGAGAGCTGCACCTCCTTTCAGAGCATCATCAGCTCAGAGAGCTGCACCTCCTTTGGTCCAGCCGTGAGGACCA